CAAAATGTTGTGTTCCCCTTCATCATATATTAGACCCGCACTTATTCCGATGTTGTGAGTCAGGGTATATATTGAACATAGTATGTGTACCAGGTTAGGGTTCAGGTTGTGCGCCATCGTGGTACGCATATTCCGGAGCGCCATTTTTATACATAGCAATTTTATACACCTTTTAATGGTATGAGCCAATTTTCATGACTCACGACTAGAAATTGGCTCATACCATTAAAAGGTTCTTATAAATTCCAAGCGGGTAAGTTTAAATTCGAAACCCCCAAAATACCATCAAAAACTCCGTAATAGTGAAATGTAGGAATAAACTTTCTGGGGTCGAAGGTCGGAAACTTTCATCCTACCGAAGATAACCAAAACCACTAACTAGCCATAAAATCTTTCTATAAGTCATCCAAACAACATTTTTCATTTGATAAAATTCAATCCTGCAACTTTAACACGGTGATGACGACAATAATGCGCAAAGCCTAGTTGAGAGAGGGCGTTTTTTTGGACCGCATATTTCTTGCACGATTCCCAGTATAACAAGGTCTGTTTTTGTGCGTAAATATTTGATTAATAATTAGTTATAAAATGTTAACAATTCTGAAAGACTCGTTTATTGGAAATCACCTTTCGAAATTGATGATTATGACGTCATAGGTGAAAGGTCGTAGGGGAATCACCAAACGGGGCTGGCCTGCGGATTGCTGACTGAACCGATGGCTTTGCGCTTCAGCTGATAAAAGATAAGATTTATATATTTATCCCCGGGGTGAGGGAAGTCGATTGAGAACCACAGATTCTTGTCCCGTTACCAGTTCATGTCGAGTATGGAATTAGTTGGCCTGTTATTTGTTTTCAGATGCATAGACTTGATGGTATGGTGCTGAGCGTTAGGAATACCAGTACCGTAAAACCGGGTACCGGTACCCATAGCTTCGAATGCCTTGTAACTTCCGATGAAATTTTCAATCAATCGTTTGTATCTCGACTAAAAAGCGTCATATTGTGCTTCTAGCAGTTTCTATAGTGAGTCCTTATATATCTCAATCTGTTACCATACCGGTATTCAATCGCGCAATCCAATTTATTTTTTGATCAAAAAAATTCGTTTTAGCATAAAATTGACACTGGAGCATTTTCGAGCGGCTCAACTCGTGACTTCTACCAATGCTAACTTTGTCAAAATACCGTCAAGGGCGGTATCAACGTATATACACAATTAGACTGATCGCGAGATGTCACAGGAGACTCGAGAAACAATTAAAATAGTTTTTTATATCAAAATAATAGCATCTGATGCACACGCTGAACTGACGTTACCTCGACGTCGCTGACTTCGAAGAAGACGTCATGATGCGTCGCCGTTACAGATTTGACGCTAGACATTCGGGCGCCGAATGAGAGAAAATAAAACGAGACATTTTAGTATAAAAACAACTTGAAAGTGCCGCACCAGAAATCCTATGGTCTTCATTATCATCGCCACTCGTGACGTGAATTGAACATTTAGGCAACGACGTAAAGCATGTTTTGTTACCCAGTTTTACGGTACTCTGGCCACCCCACCCCTGATTACCCTGCGTGGGTTAGCAGGCTCCATTTTACTATTGGGTAAATAATGTGAGACAGTATTGCTGGACTCATCACCGCCGTTTGGTCGGTCACTCCTTCCTCCACATTGATTCAACCTGGACAGCTAACCGGACAACAGCCGTAGTTTGCCATAAACTTTCCTCTCTCCCAGGATAAATATGTAAATCTGATCCTATGCTACAGAAAGAAGATTGAACAATTACAACATATAGCACAGTTCCCCAATTACAAGAATATCCCCCACAATAAGACATCAATTATACTTTGCATCCTTTTTTTCTATATTAAATCTCCACCACTTTGACCGGTACCGTACTCCTGTAGTATGTAAACCAAGATTTTCCGTATTTTAGTTCTATTACAAGTTCGGGGATTAGCCAAGTAACCCCAACTTAGTATACATACTACGGGAGTACCCTTTGACCAACTACCAACATTTTTTTTCTGATTGATATCTTGATTCTACGTAATGGACTTCAAATAATTTTGTTTATATCGGCAATGCGTTTGATGAGTCAAGTTCAAATTCTGTTTTTCCAGGTTTTGATTGAAGTCAATCATTAAGGATTGATCACACTCTTTTCATATTTCTGCGGGTCCACTGTACAGTCATCACGTAACGCCAGAACCCCACTTGCGGAAACCCCTTTATAGATGACTCAACCTAATACCAAGACATCTCTTGACTGGAGGTTCAGGGATTCAGGATATTTGTCAACTAGGAGCCGGAGATATTAACCCCACCCCCACACCATTACGATTATCCATTCCTCTTGCAACGTCAATTAAAATACCAATTGATCCAAGCCATTTCACTGTATTACCAGATCAAGTTCCACAGTCCACCGAACCCGTTAAAACCTCCCACTTTCCCTAAGCAAGAGTTCGCTGAACCGCCACAAGGTGCGCACATTTTGATGATCCATAGGCCCACACCATGTTCAATAATCTGCTCCTCAAATAAATTTCGCAGCTTCACGCCCCCAATCCCTGCCTAAAGCCTTTCAATATTAAACAAGTTCACATTTTGCTGACAATTTTCGCTTTATTTTAATGTATTATCAACCATTACAGCGATAAAATCAATTAATAGTGGAAGGCAAAAATCAACATCTGGAGTCTAAATTTGAAAACAATGTGTGCACTAATAACAATCAAAAAGGGGTAGATTCCAGTGAATTGGTGTTAATGCTTTTTCAAGCTTTCTACAGAAATTTGTGTTAAACTATTATGAGCACACAACACCAAATTCATGATATAAGAGACATAGCATCAGTTAGTTTTTCTCTTTCCCAAACAAAAGTCCAATTTTTTCAAGTGCTCAATACAGTTTGAAAAAAGGCTAAAATACACTATGAAGTATAAATAAGGCACAGTTGGGAAGAACCATTGTACCAGTTAGCACATTTCCTCCTTTACATGAAGCACCTATTTCATTTCAGTACAATCTTAAGTGGGTAAAATTCGTTTTTTTGCGATTGTCGAGATGACCTTATTTGTGGAAAAATATAGTACAAGCAATTGCCAAATTCATAATAAGCTAAAAAAAATAAAATTAGTAGAATCACTATCAGATAATTTGACATATGTACAAAAATTGTAACACATTAAATAACTCGTAGTCGTAAACAATAACAATTGCAAAATTTCTGTTAATTATGATGGAATGAATAAAATGCGAATATTGTACAGTCGAGTTAAAAAAACAGTCGAAATACAATCAGGATTAATTAGAATTCAACATTTGTTAGTGTAAACACGATTTCATGGATTGCTTGTACATACATTAACATATAATTAATTTAGGGGCTCCCGAAGTATGCGAACCAAGATGCCGGACATCGGAATGTAATAGGTGTACTAGGTTAGGGTTAGGCCATAATTTTAGGTATAAATACCACGGGAGGCTCTTGGCTAGTCTTCGAACTGATAATAGGACTAAAATAAGGAAAATTGGAAAAAAATTATCGCCTAACCCTAACCTGTTACGTTCCGATGTCCGCCATCTTGGTTCGCATACTTCGGGAGCACCTTAATTTATCATAAAAGAAATTAGAGCAAAATTTAAAATTTATGAAAGTCATGCAGAAATAGCGGTAAAATAGGACATCGTTTGAGCACTGAGTTTGCTCAAAAGATTATCAGCCAGGCGTGAGCGGGGGGCCAAGTGGGACGGAATAGACTGTTCTCTCATGATTCAAATTTAAACAAAATTTTGAGTCAAATATTTAACCCAACAATCTACAAGTGCACTTGCTTGATTGTCAATAATTTACAAAACAGGAATCCTGTTTGATATTGAATTTGAAATCTTTATCGAAATATATTATGAGTAACTCTAAAACACCAAATACTTGAATAAATATCAAACATTGACAGTAAAAGTTTCCAAAGAAAATGCATGGAAGACAGTTGGAAGTAGTACTGAGAAAAGATTGTACAGAAACAAAACTTATGCAATGATCTCCAAGAACGTTTTGTATTACAGAAAGATTAAAATTTGCAGGTATTTTGAGAAGTTTGTGAAATTATTAAAAGCCAAAATGACTGTACCACGTGCCATTTAATACTGCTACAGTGTATTAAATATAATTTCCCATTTTGCCAAACATCACACAATGCAAAACACTTTTTCTTAGTCTGTCTAAGAAACATTTGAAGTTTGTGCAGTTCATTCATATAAATCTGTAAAAAACTCAACCAACCTTGTAAAATTAGGCATTTTTTATAGTTATTAAACAGTATGGCAACAGGTAAATCTGGAGATGTGACTGAATTTTAAGTAAGGGTTTAAGCAAATATTTGTATGAATACTAACCTCTCGCCTAAATACATGAGGCCAGAATGAAAATGAGGCAATTTACGATTGAATAGTATGATCTAGTACAGATATTGTCTTACAAACCATTGCGCCTTATAGGCCGATGTATCGGTACACCTGAAGTATGTGTACCAAGATGTTAGACATCAGGATAGGGTTAGGCCATAATTTCAGGTACAAATAAATATTACGGGAGTCACTTGGCTATTCCCCAAACTCGTAATAGAACTAAACTAAGGAAAATTGGGGCCTATCCTGGTACACATACTACGTTCCGGTGTCCGCCATCTTGGTTCATATAGTTCGGGAGTACCAATGTATCTTATGTAGGAATAAAAACTTATAATACAGGGTATCGCTCTTATGGTCCCTAAAATATGATAATTCAAATTGACGTCTACTATATGAACACTGGGCGCTGCTGAGGTTTGTGAACCAAGATAGCGAACACCGGAATGTAGTATGTGTACCAGGTTAGGGTTAGGCCATAATTTTATTCCAACTTTCCTTATTTTAGTTTTATTGTAGAGTTAGGGGACTAGCAATGACTCTCGTAGTATTTGTACCTGAAATTATGGCACAAGTAAGGTAGCCAGATCAGTTGGCTCCACAGTATTTGTTTTTCTTTTTTATACAAAGTTGTCCAGCCGACGAAAAACGTATCATTTACAAGATGAAATATTATTCATAATCATCACTGAAATTTTCTACGCAATAGTAATATGAACAAACAAAAAACAAAAAAATTTCGTTTTGTTGGCAATTTCATGAAAATCTTTCATTATCAGATAAAAGTGTATAAAAGAAATGGTAAACATTATTTAGTTATTCAATGAGTTTAAAATCATTTCATAGTTTTAAAATTAGAAAAGTTGTAAATTGAAAGTTATAAGAGCAATACAAATTCGATAAAAAGTTGAAAACAAGATGGTATAAAATACACACTTAATTCTTAGTACATCAGTGGTTGCCTAAAAATATTAATCTGTAAAATTACAAAAAAAATGAAAACTAATCAAATCAAATATAAGTGAGCAATTTAGTATCATAGAAAATTACATTCTTCAAAATTCAATGAAACATATGTGGGCAATTTAGTATCATAGAAAATTACATTCTTCAAAATTCAATCAAATATATGTGAGCAATTTAGTATCATAATCCTGGATTTTATCACAGACGAAAGCCGCGTCAAGCAAAAAATTAAAGACTTCAATCAGACTTTTGGGTTGGGTTCTAGTTCAAACAATAATAAATCTACAATTATCGTTTTTTTTACGACATATATACAATGTGCTAATTAAAAAATTTCGATGTTATTACAGCGTGAGATCTACATTTAGCTGGTGCTATAGTATGGGTGGGCAAATTACGGCACAACGAAGTTTTTCATCCGGCCCTTTAGTGTCTGATGAAATTATGACTATAATTTTTATGGACGTAAATTTCTGTTGAAAATATAGATAAAAATAATGTCTTTTTGCTATAGACGTTAGCCTAGCTGTTGTAAATAACCTGTGCACAAAGATGTCGCACAACCTGAACCCTAACCTGATACACAACCTGAGTTCAGGTTGTGCGCCATCTTGGTGCGCATACTTCAGGATACTCCTGTTTTTTATTCATAGTGAGTTTTGAGCCACCGCCCAAGTCATAAAGTTATTTTGTGTAACTGGCCCACTCAGAAAAGTAAATGCCCATCCCTGTGCTATAGCATACATATTACAGCCCTCGAGCATAACTAGTCCACAAATCTGGATTGGCCATTTACGACGGTAGCCCTCGTGCTAAAGTAGAACCGAAATTTCTGTATTCATAGATGACTGGTCTTAGACTTCAAAGAGGTAATAGGCGAATGAAATGAAGCCATAAAGGATCCATGTCAACTCAGATTTTGTTGGTTATTTTCTGTTCCTAATCCAATATATCATCCCTTGGATATCCAGGGAGTAGATAAAGTTTTTTAGTCAGAAAGTCACTACTTTCACTCATCTCTTTGCATGGTACATTTATAGTGTCATTCAACGGAGTTAACCCAGTTTTTGCACAGACTGCACTTCTCACACGAATCATTAAATCAGCGACATGCTCAATATGAGCGTACTTCATGAATATATTTGCTATTGCATTAATAAACCAACTTCCTCTTCCATTGCGAAATGCCATATAACCTGATTGTGTTGCGTATGATATGAGCATATCAGACCTTACTGGCAAACTTCGTTGGCTGCTCAAATCACTCATGCAAACTTCTTCAGAAGGAAAATGGTTCATTAAAGATTTGAATAAATCTTTCATCCTATCATCTTGACAAAGGTATTCTCCTCCAGTGTCAATGATACATCCTCGGCAAAACTGCAAGAAAAATAACTTCGGTTTTCCTGCTAATGCTTGACATCTGTCATTACTGAATGGCGCTAAAATTTGATTGATTGTAACAGGAGAGCTGTCTGCGCCAAGCACAACTTCAGTGCCGTTCTGTATATCGCCATGAGACATAATGAAGACCACAACAAAACTATACGCTGATATATTTGGAGATTGTGCAACTTTTTCTAATGTATCACGAATTTCAACTGCTTTTAAATCCTCTTTTACAGCAACTTTACAACCCAATTCACTCCATAAACGATTCATGTTTTCAACATCCTTTTTCGCACCGATTCTCTCTCCCTCTTGCCCTCGAAAATTATTGTTTATTATAAGCACATATCCTTTGGGATTTGGAGATATTTGATAAATGTTATCATGCCTCATTATTGAGTGTATATCCTCATGTGAGCAACTCTGCACTTTGATTGAAGCAACTTCCCCGCATAGATGGGATTCATTAGCAGTTTGTAATTCGCAAAATTGATCAGCAATGCTGCCTACCGAAATTTCTTCATGTCGAGAGCTTAGTTGTTGCTCAACGTGACTGTATTTTTCGTTAAATGCTTTTTGGACTTCATGTGCAGGTGTTTTTGATTCAGAGGAACTTTCTACAGCGACTCTTTTAACTGATGTATTATTGGGTTGTTGTACACCACCTGGTGGTTGAACCCGAGCTCTTCCTGGTTCCGAGTAACTCGAAGTGGGCTGTTGTTGAACTTCTTCATCATTTTCCTCATTACCAGTGTCAAAATTATGTTTCAGCTGCTCTAACTTTTCGAGAGTCGCTGCACGGCCATTTTTTTTAACCCATAGATATAGTATTTGATATTTTTGCTCTCTGCTACCAGAGTGATCTGCGGTAACATCATTTATCTCACGATTACTAATTTCGAGTTCACTTCGAGCAAATTCGAGAAATTCTGGTTGAGTATCAAATTTATCAATGAATTTATAAATCTGTTTCCCAGGAATTTTTGATGACATCACAGACTGTCAGCTAAAATACTTAAAATAAAAACGATCTGAAAAAATACATGAAGAACAAGATTCATTAGATTTTTTTGGCGACGATTCACGATGGTATTTCACCAAGGCTCTGCACAAGAAGACACCATTATGCCGGGAGTCACCATACTGCCATAGTTTGGAACAAACTTTTTGGGTTTTGCATTGCCTACGCAAATTATTCAACACTTGGTACGATATGAATCCAAGACACTACCCCGCAATGTCAAAACATTCAACTCTTTAACGCTTCTCAGACACAATCAGAGTGATTTCTCAAACCAAGTTTCAGGACATCTTTGAATCAGCAAACTGTGCCCTACTGTAGCTAGGCGGCTAGATGACATGGAAAGACGGACATACATTGTACATTGATATAATGGCCAGATGGAAGTCTCTAAAATTTGACAATTTTGCTCAATATGTACCGTATAAGTGCCTAACTTCGGACAAAATTACCATATTTTAATCAATAACTTGGCCATTTATTGTCCAAACGGCGCCAAAATTGCTCGGTAATACATTTATGCGTTACTTTACATTCTCTGCAAATTTCAGGGCTTATCGGAACATTTTTACTATAGGAATAATTTTCCTCACTGCGTAACTGCGACGCACAGAGAGAAAGAGGCTTTTGATGCGGGTCACATAATCAAGTCATTGTGTGAAGATAAGGCGCTCCATCGGCGTAGTAATGTAACATCTCAACGTCGCGGCATTATCTGAAATTTCCTATGTTTACATCGTTGCCATTTCTTTCGTATTTTCGTTAAATCAGATCAGTATAATAACATGTTAGCCATTTGAATCAGGAACTAACATACGCAAATTAATCTAATGCAAACACAATGAAACATTTTAACCGGCTTGTAAGTCTTTGAAATATTATTCTCGACGGATAGCTTTGTTGATGTTACGCTGTTATCTTTACAGGTAATTCTTCATCAAACATACGGCGAACCCAATTGTGAAGTTTAATCTTCAATTTAATCTCGTTAACTAACATTGAGATAGGTTCCATGATTTTGGTTAGAAATACAATGAATTTTTCACACGGCTGTATTCAGTAACTGTTTATTTTGACTTCAAAGCATAGAATAATTGTTTTAGTCAGTATACAGTGCCACATGGACGTTGGAATTTCTCTAGTTTTTATATTTTCGAATTTTGACGACATTGATTACGTAAGATATGTACTCTTTTTAATGTGATTTTGGCATATGTTCACACACGGACCGAACAAAATACAAAAATATTACACTGAAATGGGTCTTTACCTTAAACGGAAATTGTCAATTAGGCGCCGTTGTGGCGGGCGTCAAAATTCATTTCCACTGCGCAGTGTGACGTCGTCTTGGAAGTGAGTGAAAAATGATCTACGTAAGGTTGACGTAACTTTTGACGCAGTGTGAAATCCCAATATTTTTACGGCATTTACAATTCAGATTTTTACGTTCTATTTAAATCTCGTTTGACATCTTGTGATCACTCTGATGAATTATATACATTGTTATTGCCCTCTACCGGATGGTGGTATTTTGACAATGATAGCTTAAGTAGAAGCGACGCTCTGTGCCGTTGGATAGCGAGTAGTCACTTTTCGGCAATATTTCCGTTTTTTAAGAAAAAATAATTAAGCAACATTAAAAAAAATGAGAATAGCTGTATACCGGTATATAACAGCTCTACCTATTAATAATTGAAATTGGCAATATATAGTGCTTATTAGTCAAGATATGGCCGTTTAAAATTTTTGTCCGAAGTTGGGAACTGTCCGAAGTTAGGCACTTTTACTGTAATTTACCTGTACGTTATACGGTACTGCAGTAAAAGCACCAGTGCTTATTTTCTTTATAATAGAAAAGTTCACCTAAAAAAACAGTACCGGTACCCGTATAACTTATAACAGAACCGAACATTACAAAAAATCTGTAATCTGAGTCTGCAACATAACGCTGTCTAAGCTCCGATTCTCCACTACACCACTTGACACTAACATTGTCTTTAAATCATTATTACTGTAGATTAAGTGCTTCAAAAGTAAAACAGCCGGAAGGTTCAATACATTCGCGTATCTTTTGTTTGTTTATTTCTGGCACAAGCCTTGTTTAAAAAGGTTTGTTTTTTTTTGTGATTTTTTTTTGCGTGTGTGCCGGTGGGCGGGCACATGATATTTCTCATGTTTTAAGCTTTTTTAAAGGTTTTGCTCGCTCTCCAGAATTCTCCTTTCAGCCTTTTATATTTTGTGTGTAATATGGAGTCTTCAAAATAAATCTATCTACCTAACAATATAAATCATTTGTTAATCGATCTATACTAATGTTTTAAATGAAAATCGAATCATACAACGATACAAAGATATCGACGATATATAAATCTGAGCAAAAGAACGAAAAACGGAAGATCGCAGCTCGCAACAAACGAGAACCGATAGGCAGACCAGGGTTTTCCCCTTTATATTCACATGACCGGCATGTACTGACCAGTGACGTCATAATTACTGCAACTAATGAGGGGAATTTCCTTTCCATCGTCGTGTGCTGGTGTCGTCAACAGTCATCTGTTGTCATTAAGTCGTTTTTGACCCATCTTTTTATTTTGTTGCCTTTGCTGTTGTCAAAATTAGACTACTAATTTTCTTGGATGGGTGAGCGAACACGTACTACTTCTTTTATCAATACCTTTCCATCTAAAATTTGTACGTTTCAAACCTTACTCTAGGTTTTGTTCGATTTCCCGGTTCTATAATCAGTTACTTTTACTTTTGTTTTTATCTATTTTTTTATCGTATATTGCTGATTATGGAGTCGAAATAAACTTATACTTATATACTTTCATGCATCATTGAGTAGTGGATACTTGTATATAAACCACATTATAGGCACCAAGATTCTTGGAGGTCGTACTTCAATGAATACAATGAATTTGAAGAAGAATGACCTACGTAAAATCTATGGAGGATAGAGATCACCATGAACCAGAAACCGGGACAAATTTATTGTTATTATTATTTTTATTTATTTACGATCATAACGAAACTAGGGCCCATGAAACGGTGACGTGAAAAATAATCAATTTTAACATTAAATTTTGGTAAAAGTTGTTGCAGTGTGTTTTCAAACACTTTACGTGTTTAATAATATTTTTTTACATATAGCGAAAATATTATAATACTGGACTGCTTATATACGATGATTAGAATTCATTTATGACGTCATGGAAATTAGTCAAAAGCGCAACTAGTGGACTATATGTAAGGAAAAGAAAAGGGAACTGCCACCAGGGCTGCCACTCTAGATGTTTTATATCTAGATCTAGATGTTTTTTTCAAGATCTAGATGTAAAATTTGGAGCCTAGATGTTAGCTATAAAATCTAGATATATTTTTTTTTCAGGGTTCTAAATATTATTCAGTGGGAAATAAATAAAGAGAAGTGTAATACTGTAATAGTTAATGAATATAAGTATAAGAATATTATTTCATTATTTAGAATTAGAAGTATTGATGTGAGATTGATAAAACAGTTTATATTTACGATAAAACTCATTCATATTGTATTCGTCCACCGGTACCATACAGCCATATGTACTTAAAATATTTGAATAACGAATTAAACATGTTTAAAACATGTGACGTTTTAATTAACGTTAAGTAGAAAGGACGACGTTGGTCCGATGATATTGTTGCCAAGGGGTTTTAAAATTATTAGGTTATTTAGGTCTATAAGTCAGTGGTTCTCAACCGGGGGTCCGCGAAGCATTTCTAGGGGGCCGCGATTAAATTGAGATTTTAGGAAATTATTTGTGGTTTAATATCGTTTTTTTGTAATACGCTCGAATATTTGCTGCCTATGACAATGTGACAATAGCCTACAAAAACTATTTTGAATTATCTCCCGTAGACATATTGTGACAAATACAAGTTATGACAGCACAATGATAAATACGAGAACGCAGCTACAGTGATCACTTTCTCCGTTTTAGTGCGCCATTTGCCGTCCTACGCATAAGTATCGCTGGAAGCATTACGTGTTATTGTTCCATTCGCCTCCCCATACCTTTGTGGAAGTGGATTTTTTGCTCTCGTTCATATCAAATTCAAGGCTCGTCACCAACCAAACGTCGAAGACGATTACGTGTTATTGTTCCATTCGCCTCCACTTGCGTTTGTGAAAGTGGATTTTCTGCTCTTGTTCATATCAAATCCAAGGCTCGTCTCCAACTAAACGTCGAAGGCGATATGCGTCTATCATTATCAAAAACACGACCACGTATTTCAAGACTTGTTTCTGATATGCAACAGCAGAAATCCCATCGAGTGTATTCGATTTGACAAAATAAATGGAAATGTCCACTAGTTTGGTGTTATTTTTGACTTGGTTAAATCTGTATGGAACATTAGGTTGCTGTTTAAGCTATAAACTAAATTTCAATTAAAAAATTTTTGAGGGGTCCGCGACCACTTTGAGAGCACCAAAAGGGTCTGCAAAGACAAAAAGGTTGAGAAACACTGCTATGAGTGCTATTGAATGTGTCTCTCTTTAAACATCAACTTTTCAAAATGCCAAAGTGTATACACTACCAGCAAAGATTTAGAAAAGGTTGGCTTAAGGAATGGTTTGCCCATTCAGATGATAAGAACAAGGGCTTTTGTAAGTTCTGCATGTGGGAATTGAATTCTAGGTGATGATGTTAGGTTCTTCGACATCTGATATTATTGTATTATGGTTACTTTTCATTAAATTCAATGCCTTCATATCTAGATGTATTTTCTAGATGTTTTATTTTTCAATCCGGATGTTTCTAGATGTTTTTCGAGGTCAATCTAGATGTTTTTAGTCAGGCAAAAGTGGCAGCCCTGACTGCTACCGTGAGACAGAAAGGCGAAATTGTTGGGTTTCAGAAAGTTAGAATACGGAGTTAATCTTGAAAATGAAACAAATTATAAACTGGAATAAGCCTCCTCATTATCACAATTTGGCCACATGTGCTTTCTGTATAGTAAAAAATAAATATTAGTGAGTTGTTTATAACTTTTATACCGGTAGTCAGAAGAGAATGTGAAATTTCTGAATCGAATGAAAAATTTATGACATGTATTGACAAAATGAACAATACACTCAATGACTCAAGAAACAAATTGCAACCATTTTCAAGCTTTGGGGGTGTGGAGCATCCTGCTGAATACTGGAATAAGCTCGCCACCGCACTTCTAATTACCGTACAGTACCGTAAAAGCAGCTAACTTTGGATGATTTCACTATATTTTAATCAATAACTCTGCCGTTTGTTGTCCAATTTGCATCAAACTTGAAATGTATTACATTGATGTAATTCTCTGCATCTGCATATAATTTTCTCGACGATCGGATCACTTTTTCTGTCTTAATTGTCCCATTTTCTGTGATCTGTAACGACGCATTTAAATATCTAGCTTCGGATGGGTGTATCCCCTCCCTGCGTCACCGCAACTAGAGCGAAAAGTGCGTGCGTGAAAACAAAACATGCTTTACGTCGATGCGTAAATGCCAGATGTTCAATGTCTAAAAAAGCGTTTTCAATTGGTCGCGGACCGTCATAAAACAAAACTTATGGTGTTCTCCGTTTTATTTTCAGTATATTGTGTTGCCGCTTTTCAATTTAGAAAATTGAACCTACCAGAAAAAAAAATTATTTCTTGTTGCTCGCGAGACACACCACTCAGGTATCTATCCACGCGTGTGCCGACTCGTATCGGAACTCCGCAAGTGAGTTGTAAAATCCAATCGTTTGAATAAGCGACGCGCATGTGACCTGTCGCATCCCCTGTTATCAAATTTTCGAATAGTAAATTGCTATTCTAATAGTTGAATATTCGAATATATGCCCAGCCCTACTCAGTATCCAGTAATTATTAACTTGAGTAATGTTATGTGAATAAACTTGCTTTTTATGGTTTATGTACATTCTAACGTGAATCGTAACTTTGGCAAAGACTTTAAAAAAAGTGTTTTGTGTTTCTGGCTCGTTGCGGACTCATTCAAGCGCTTCCCGAACTCATTTGAGACCGTGGACTCATTTGAGCTACAGGAGTGGTGACTACTCTACGGCCCATCCAATTGGGCCACATGAGCCGTGGCCCATCAATCTATCGGCCGCGGCCCCATCAGGAAAAATTCACTTATATTCCAAAAATTTTCAATTTTTACAAAATTGTCAATATTCGAACCAAAAAAATATACTCCTGTATTATGTGTACCAGGTTAGGGTTAGGACAAAAAAATTCAGATTTTTTACATTATAGTTCTATTATGAGTTCGGGAACTGTCTGTGTGAGCCAAGTGAATAATCCCTTTACACAACTTGATGGACCGCGGCCCATAGCCTAATGGGCTGAGGCCCAATTCAATGGGCCGTGACCCCGGCCCATGGGCCGCAGAGGAGTCATCATTTCCACTCCATTTGAGACCGCGGACTTGAGTTGGGAAACACTGGGTTAGACTGTTAACTAATCTCTGAATCCCTTAACCGACATGGACTGGTAATCAGACCAAATTGCCAGAGGCAATGGTTCGCCATATGATTAAGCCATCTTATTAGGTATCCTCTTCCCCGGGATAAATATTTACCGTAAATGCTATTCATAAATTTTTTTCTACATAACAGAAACCATTTACAATATCTGAATATTAAAAATTAAGATACAACAAGATTATAGTTGTCAAAGCAAAGATGGCACAAAATAAAAGCTCTGCCAGCCATCAACGGATTGAAGATGAGTTTTATAAAGTCATGAAATCGTTTAGCAATAACAGTGAATGGAAGGAGTTTGCTCGCAGCAGAACGAGGGGGTTGAATTTAACCGAATATCAAATCGATGACATCAGAGCGGACTATATTCACGATGTGAAAGAACAGAAATATCAAATGTTATCGCTATGGCAAAGAAGAAATGGGCGTAAAGCCACTCCTGAAAATCTTCACAAATTGGTGGATAGCTTTCGAAGCTATTTATCTCAGCCGCCAGAGCAAAATACAAATTCGAGAGAGCCTGAGCCTGCGACGCACGACGTTGGACACAGAAACCCTACCCATAGCGGTAACTCTGTCTGTGACTCTATGAGAAGGCACCCATCTCAATCTGGCGCAAATAATATCGAACCAATGGACATTGATCAAGAATCTTTGAGAAGTATACCTATCCATGGTGAGGCAAGCATGCCTCATGCATTTTCATCCTTACAAGACAGCAATCAGCAAACGTTTACTGAGCCTGGACAACCACCGGCAAATCAAAGCGGAAATCAGAATTGTGTGCACCTGAACCAAGGCACACCAAGTTTTACGGCAAGCATGCAGGTTAACAGTAGCTCTAATACACCTGGGAGATCAGCTTCTTCCTTCGAAATGGAAAGTAGTGCACCAAACAACAGCTCATCTAGCAGAAATAGGGACAATCCTGACTTGACTAATCCCAAAGAACTCGGGACCAGCACAACAAATCGCATTCGCACCACAGAATATGAAACTATTGAAAATAAAGCATCACCTATCCCAAACTTGACAAAACAACTTCAAGGACTTGGAGGATTCATGAATAATGTTCAAATCAATGTCGTCGGTAAAAATGCAGTCGGAATCCAAACTAATTATTATTTCGGTGGGAAGAAAGTTGAAACTAAACGCCCGAAGAAGCCGGTACTACCAGAAACAGCAGAATACTGTGCTGCAGTTGGGGAGATCGATATAAAACCCGCAGATGACGAAGACTATGATCAACATTTGGAGCAGCAGAATATCATCTACAAGATAAGTCACAGGCCAAAAGGCACTGTGTTGATCTTAAACAATTCTTTTCAAGGACAACCAGACGAAAGACATGGCTCTGATTTGGATAGGCGAAATATGGAACTTCTTTGGGACAAACTGGGCTGCAAGGTGTTTTCAAGAACAGATATAACAGCTGCGGAAAGTATCCAAACTTTTCGGAATTTTGTTAAATCGCCGGCAGCTTGCTCGAGCGATTTTGTGGCTGTGGTAATCATGTCGCATGGCGATCAACTTAATGGTGACGATGTCTTTTATGGATTTGATAGAGCCCCGGTGAAGGTGAAAGATGTGTTGGAGATTTTCAATAACAAGAATGCTGCAAGGTTACAGGGAATACCGAAGCTATTCTTTTTTCAGTTCTGCAGAGGAGGTAATGTAGATATGGGATCTGAGCATATGGAGCGTGTAGATATACCAGCTGAAAATCTATTTAACTCGCTCGAAGCTACAGTACGTCAAAGTAGCGGTGTGCCCCCATCTGGTGATGCATCAGATAGCCACGGTATTCAAACTTCGAAACAACCCACGATGTCAGACACGATGGTCTCATTTGCAACGCAAGCTGGATTTAAAGCGTTTCGTCACCAACGAGATGGAAGCTGGTACATAAATGCTATTATTAACGTGTTTATGCGTCATTCTCATGATCAACACTTGGTGGAGCTAATGACAATCGTAAATAACGCAGTTTCCAGTAAAACTGCGATCAACACTGAGGATCGATCAGTGCATGAAGGTAAAGAAATGAGTGATTTTACATCTACCCTAAAAAAAAAACTTTTCTTCTTTCCCGGCTTCCCCAAAGATATCGAAGCTGAATTCATATAATTATTAGCAGTTCCTGAGTATAGAGATGTCCAACGAATGTAAATAAAACAATATTCATGATTATTGCTATTCCAAGCTGATCTTTAAGAATTTGGTTAATTGATATTACTGCATTTTTTCTGAAAAATCCATACAGTGAACTTTGGGAGGAACGAATTATTTCCAGACTCATGTGGTCTTCACGGGCGACTTGGTGCCCGCGGGCAACGGGTTGGTGACCCCTGCTCTATACAGACATACTGGGATACAGAAATTTGGCATAACGCACATTCAACTTAGACTTGGCTGTAAAGGGAAACCCTCTTACAGTATAAAAAATCGAAAAGTTTGTAGGGTACGAGAAGATTTATCACTGACTCCGATTTGTACAAATTTTGGGTCAGAATCCGATTATGGGTTAAGAAAAATTTTGACATCAAATCTGAGTTGTAGAACATTTTGACTCAAACAAACTCCAAATCTCATTTTGTAATAAAAACTTCGCACATGTGAGACTTATTTGATAGACTGTAAATTAGGAATACTTAGTAAATGCTTCTTTTATTGGTATTGGAAGTACGAAATCTTGGCTTTGAGAGAACCAGAATTTCCACTCAGTTTCTAGGGAGTATATCGCCTCTACTTCATTCATTGAAAACTCGGCTCCCAGCTCTGATTCAAAAGGTGGAATATATCGTACAAAACTTCCTTGAAATAATGATTTTACTGAGAAAAATGGGCGTTCCAGAAGTTTGTGTACCAATATGGAGGTAACTAATTTTGTTCGCCTACTATACATCAAGTTGTGTAATAGGACTGAAACCTATGGGCAGGAGGTATATTCACTTGGCTAACACAGACAGTCCCTAATTTGTAATAGAACTAAAATAAGGAAAATCGGAAAAAAATTATTGGCCTAACCCTAACTACACATGCTACATGAATGGGGTACTGAAAAATGGCATATTTCAAGTAATTTTGGTTATTTTATAGCTTGGGATAGATTGTTATTTTATAGCTTTAATTCTGAAGGTAGTGTGTCCTCTAACAATATGTGTTTTTGCTTGCTTTTTTTATTTATGATTTTCATTGGTTTCACATTTGTTAGTTAGAAGTTTTAAATATATACATGATATCTTGTATTTAATTAGGTAAAAGAAATTTTATGTGCTTCATTCAACTAAAGTTACATTGCAAGAAGTAAATAAAATGAAACAAACCTGGTTAAGATTTAGAATTTCATTGTAACAGGACTTTATGAATATTCTGTATATTAGAAATCAATTACTGTATATCCTAGCATGCGGTCCCCCTAAAACCGGCCCTAAAACAGTAAAGTTGTAAAAATTTGCATACACGCCGAACCTGAAAATCATAACGCACTGCACCTATCACACTAAATGGTTGCTTTAGTGCAATCAGAGGTAAGAGCTGAGTCCTTGATTTGGCAACTTTTTTTGGGGGGTTTTAGAAGCGAATCATATGCGAGAATATACGATATACAGTATTTGTAATGAACCAATGTATTTCAGTTATGCTGATTGACTTTAAACAAGGCTTTGTACAGGCAGTAATTTCAACTTAATTGACCTAAAATGTTATTGCTAGTATAAAATTGCTCTTGAATTAGCGCTGTTTGATTAGTTTTTGTGTTTTATGAAGCTATTGAATATGAATTGAGAGGCTGGAACCTGCAGTACCTACAAATGCTACTACTTATAGCTTCCACCACCATCAAGAAACAAATAGCTTGTTAACTAATCCCATACCCGACATGGACTGATAACCGGACGAGAGGCCTTGGTTCGCCATATGATTAAACTGTCTTATCGGTTTTCCTCTCTTCCAGGATAATTATGTAAATCCATCCTACTTACTGACATACAATAAATAAGAATTACATAATATTTTGAAATATTCAGTTGATAATTTAATTCTATAAAAACCCAAGTTCATGCAACTACATTGATTAGTTTGTTTGCTAACTCATACTGAGTACAATTTACATAAAAGTAAAGCAGATATGGTGGCTTAATCATGTGGTGAACCACGGCCTCTCGTCCGGTTATCAGTCCATGTATGGGAATAGGTAAGCATTCTGTTTTGAGATGCATTGTGGAGAAGGCCATTATTATTATGTCATCAATATCCATTACCATGAATCTACAATAGTGTAATTTTTTGTTGGGTGTATGCTACTTCATTAAAAATAAAAATATTTGTTGGATTTGATCTTGCCCTCCTTATTTGATGTTTACGTTCCATCAACTTAACATTAGAATAAAACATACGTGAACACTCGTTTTGAATAAAACATCTTTTATTTGTATTGTTATCTATTTTTTTTGAGGTGGGGCGCGAGACTTGAAAAATTCTAAAAAGGCTTAAAAAGTTAGAGAACCATTGATTTACATTGATTACTTTTCTTGCTTACCCATATCTTGTGTGACTCTTAGGCAGGCTCTGTATAGCAAAAACTAAAGCCTACACTCTCATGTATTGAAATGTATCCTATTGTATTATCACTATGCTTACTTTAATGGCTCTTATTTCATTTCTATTAATTTTGCTTTGTTGGATTGAATTGTTCCATTTTTACTGTTTTATTCTTCAATTATCAATATATTTTAGTGGTTATATGATTGAAATGATTTAAATTTTACGTTTCATTGAAATTCTTTTTTGTCATAGCGATGTCATGTTCAAACGAAATAACTATAAATTCCAGAATAGAACTGTATGATTAACAATTTATAATATTAAAATGAAATATCTTTTTCGTATTAGCTCCCCCAACTTTTATGAGGTTAGATGCATTTTTATTGATAATGTTTAATCATTTTTCGATATTTTGTGATCACTGACTATTTCTGTTTTTACGTCTAGCTTAGCTATAATAGTACCTAGTTTATGCTGATAGAGTTACTAGTCTTGGGGCTTCATTGCCAGTGGAGATAAATACATGTTTATTTGTGGAAATATATGACTGAAAGGCGTGATAACGACTCATCACAAAGGGAAGTGGCACTATTATTGGCTTCACTTAAAATTAGGGTAAAGGGAAAAATTTCCTTACGTAAAATTTTCTATGCGATATCGTCTTATCTGATAATTGTCATCAGTCGTTTGGAGCCATGGCATCAAATCAAAATGAAGCATCTCGGATTTACGAAGTTGTCAGAGCTGTAAAAAGAAGCGAATGGCCTCAAATTGCAAAAATAAAACTGGGGTTGAAGGAAGTTGAGATCGAAGAATGCGAATGTAATTATCAAATGCAAGGGATGATTGAACAGAGATATCAGATGGTCCTGGCATGGCAAAGAAAAAAGGGAGAATCGCTACAGTCAACCTTCTCGAGCAACTTATGGAAAATCGGGATGGAAGACCTCCACAAAGGGCTCATCAGCTACAGGAAGTCCGACTAGCACAGCAAGGTTCTTCAGTAGTAGGAGTTTCCTCCTGGGATCCCCCTCCCTCGAGTTCTGATGCCCCTCCCCTGAGTTCTGATGCACAAGGAAGTTCAAGAAATGAACAAAGTGTGAATGTGCCATTAGGAAGTGCCCCGGTACCTAGAAATTCTGCCTCGAATGTTACGTCTGGTGACACTGACCGGACGCCATTAGATGGTGACGTATATGATGGAAGTTCTAACAGTGATGAAATGAAGCCAACAGGAAGATTTTCACATAAGGCAGTGGCACCATTATTTTCCTCACTTAAAATTAATTTAAAAGGGGAAAATGCAACAGGTTTTGAGAACAATTTCTATTCTGGAGTAGATCCGAACTCTATTCCTCCATCTTTGTTCGGCGATGTTACTATTGATGTAGAAGGCAAAAATGCAACGAGTGTTAGAAATAACTTCAACTTGAAGCAACCCATAACTGAGATAGGAAAAGAGAAATCTCCTTTGCTAGAGGAACCACTTGAGTATTGCTCAAGAGTAAATGAAAATTTTGAAGTCACATTGTCATCAAAAAAAGACTATGATCAACAGGCAAATGAAATTTACCAAATCACTAAAGAAAAAGGGCGTCTTGCTGTAATTATTTCTTGCACATTTTCTGAAACTGATGAAGAAAGACATGGGGCTGAGCGGGATGCTGAAAATCACAAAATTTATTTTGAAAAAATTGGTTTCAAAGTCCTTGTACTCAAAGAAAAAACGTCAGATGAACTTTTGAAAACTTTGAAAAATATTACACGAATGTCGGACCCACTGTCTTGTCTTGTTATTGTAGTTCTTTCACATGGAAATGAAAAGGATGGGGAGGATATATTTTTTTCTGGTGATTGCAAAAGTATAAAAGTCAGTGAAGTTCTAACTATATTTAACAATCTGAACGCAAAAATGCTACAAGGCGTTCCAAAAGTTTTTGTTTTTACATTTTGCAGAGGAAAAAACATTGATTGGGGCGTCGAAAAATTAGATCGTTCAATCAAAGATTGCGTTTTTGGAAAGGATAATGAATCAACTTCAACGCAAGGAGCTAGTAAAAGAGCAGAGAAAATTCCAACAATATCTGACACAATTATTCTTTATGGCTCTCAACCTGGCTTTGTTGGACACCAGAATGCTATTAATGGGAACTATCATAGCAATGCATTTATCAATGTTTTTAGGATACATGCTCATGATCGTGATGTAGCTGAAATGTCAGCAATAATTAATAATGCAATGAAAAAAAGAACAGGGAAAGGAAAAAAAACAGACGGAGAAAAACAAATGAGTGGATTTACTTCAACCTTGTCAAAAAAACTTTTCTTATTTCCCAGCAGCCAGTCACCTTCAAACAGGACTATGGCACTTTAAAACAGGGGTTCTCAACCTTTTTTTTGTTAAGTACCCTGGAACAGCGATACCCGAACCCTCATTACTCAGACACCAAGCAAAGTTGTAAGATATGGCACTTTAGAATAAGTTCAGCGACATATTCAGGCCTGAAGGTATAAAAGAACTGTCTTGGGCTAAGTAAGGACTGAAACTGGTGAATATCAAAAGCAGATTTTCGCTGAGAAAT